CATTAATTTTATCGTAACAAAAACCATACGTATGAGACGATTTAAAATTTACCAAGTTTTAAATCATTGATTGACAATATTCTATGCAGGTAGCACGCTTAACTGAGATAACCATTTTGAATATGGAAGATGAACATCATAACCTATGTTGGAAACTCACTGTCACCGTATCAAGGAGTGCAAGATTTCGATATTTTATACATCTGGGTACGGGGAACTGAGCAGGTATAGTAGTAGGCCTTAATGAAGTGACTCAAAATGTGGTGCAGGTAGTACATTTAAATGCAGTAACCATTTCGAATACGGAACATAAACGTCATAACCCGTATTGGAAACTCACTGTCACCGTATCAAGGAGTGTAAGATTTCGAGATTCTATTTAAATATCTGAGTACGGGAAACTGAGCAGGTATAGTAGTAGGTCTTAATGAAGTGACCACTTCAGACGGATATGGTCGATTAGGGTTACAATCTGTTGATGTAAGATTGTTATCTCCAAATAAAGGTGCTTAAGATTCTGATTTATTTGATATTTAAACATCTGGCTACAGGAGACTGAGCAGGTAAAATAGCCCAAATGAAGTGACTACTTCGAATATGGGAGTAAAAGTCTATAATCTTGTAAATAGAACAGCACTGTTATAGAATAAAGGTGCGAGAGATTCTCATGTAGAAAAAGTTTCAAGTGAATCAAGTTTACTTAAATCCAAAATTTGTGTAAGAAAGTTACGAACAAATTATGATAAGTGACTAAATTTCAAAGATATATAAAAATGTCTGAAGTTGAAAATTGTTTTGCCTTTTTTATACTAGATTTTTGAAGATATGTGGAAGCACTGCACTAGATTACTCTTAAGTTTAAGATAGATTTCATATTTTATACTGTAATTTTTATTTTAGAACGTAATATGGTTTTTCAAACCTTAGCTTCACATATAAAACCCACAAAAATAATAATATTAAACAAATAGTTACAAAACTACAATTGAGAGAAGTCGTAAAAATGTATTAGAATTTCTTAAAAACAAACTTGGGTAATATTCTACTGCGGTTACTGGCAGCTCTGTGGTAAACTTTTCCGAAGTAGCTCCATTCCGATTAACTTTAAAACCAATCCAAAATCAACATACCGACACTAACCGCCAAAAATTATGTTAAATAGGGTAAACACTTAATACTATTTGTGTTAAATTTAGCTTGACGTAAAGGTGTCAATCTTATATTATAAAACTTTTATACTTGACAAAAAAAAATTTAACCAAGAAATACCCAAAAACAAAAGTATAGAGCATAAATGAAGATAAAAAACCTCATAAAAAATATCTGCAAATTTATATCAATGCAAATTCGAGTGGTCCTTGCTTTAACTAAAAGTATTTAAGTTTAACATGCATAAAGCATTATTATATTTTATTTAAAATACCCCTTTTTTCACCAACAAAATATACTTAAGGTAAGAATAGAAGAAAGAAAGAAATAAAAAAATAAAAAAGGTAGGAAAGAAGAAAGAAAATAAAGTGACACTGAAATATTTAACAAAAGTGTTTTTCTTGCAAAGAAGAAAAGTGTAATAAATCCTTTTTATGGGTCTTGTACTTGTGAACATAAAGTAAATTCGATTTTTTTCCTTTCTCGTTCCTAAGGTTTTTTTTTTTCTTTTTAATATTTTTTTTTAACTTTTAGCTGAATTTTTTCGATTTTTTTTGCATTTTTTTTTTTTGAGGTTATTTTTATATTCAATTTTTTTTTTTTGTGTTGAAGGAAGTGTTACCCTTTACTTTAATCGGCTTGTATAAAAAATTCTACTAAAACGCATAACATACCACAATTTTATAGTGAACCGAGGAAGCGAAACTGAGGAGAGAAGTTAAAAATTTACTTTATCGGTGGTGTTACCTTTCGCAAACTGGAACTTTTTATTCCGGCTCGCTTTTATAGAAGGTTTCGATACCAAACTCTCGTCAACTTAACACGTGAACAAATTGATGGATTTAGGGATTCGGTTTTTGTTTCACTTCAATTTAAGTTAAATTTTATTGACAGCTTTTTTAACGCTTTTGTATTCTACACTTTGTGGGTGTGTCGCCGTATCATTATGCTCAATGTTATTCCAAATTGAAAGGTTACACCAAAAAAAGATTAGAGAATTTTTCATCCCCAAAAATGATTGATAGCAGATTGTTTTCGTTTGGATTATGGAATTTTTTTTTTAAATTTTGTTGTTGAAAGCTAATAATTAAATCTGATTAAATAATCAGTAAATGTATTTTCTAAATAGATTACACTTAAAAGGATTAAAACAATTTTATGCAGTGTGTAGGTTTCATAAAATATATTTCTGTTAAAAATTGTATATTAAAACTTCAATTGGTTTGCAGTTTTGCTTAAATATGAGTTAGTTTACCCGGGGCCATATATGCATATTTTTATTTTTTTTTTGAGTTCTAACCTTAGTAACTTTTATTCTTTACAATTGATCAAGGCAATACGTTAAGATGTAGTGTGTCGCATAATATAAATATGAGAAATTATTCTTTATTCCACAAAATGAACGATATGAATGTTACAAACTCCGTCATTTGGGAGTTTGGGAGTCAATAAAAATCTGTCCGAAGAGGTCTTCAATCATAAGCTTACCAATATTCGAAATATGACTCCACTTTTAATACTAATCGATATATATGGTATAAGAAAAAAATCTGGCCGAAAAGGTCTTCAATCATAAGGTTATCAATATTTGGAAAGCGGCTATACTCTATACCTTGTATAATACCCTATCAACCCACACATATTTTGTGCAATACGTAAATATTTTATGTTACAATAATGACAAAAAATATGTTTAAAGTCTATTGTAAAATTTTATTTTAAATTACATTGTATATTTAATACTCTCAAAAGAATTTTCAGTTAATATTCAGATTTACAATACTTACATTTTTATTGTGAAACATTTTGTTACTAAATTTACACTTAATGTGGCTCCAGTTCTGATACCTTCGTTTCAACAATTGTACTAAATTACTTTGTTTTATGCGTTTACACTAACTAACCTGAGTTAACCGCATTTAAAATGCAGCAACACGTACTACAAAGGAAATAAAATAACAAAATATGGAGGCATAAACATAAACATAAACGTGAACATCAACGTCAACGCCACCGTCAACGCCAACGTGAACGTCAACACTACCAACAACTATTGGGTAAACTACGTGAATTTAATGGCAATTTGCATATGTATTTGTGTGCTATTGTGAATACGTATGGGAGAACACGTTTGTGTAATTTTGTATTAGGAGACATGCGTGAATTAATGAACGCTCAAGGCTCTTAAGCCAAAAAAAGTGCACAAAACAAAAAAAATATTTTTATATCCTTTTTAAGCAACTAAAAACATTATGCTACCTCATATGCTCGTATACTATGCAGTGTATTTCTTCCATAATTTAATGTTTATTTTTATTTAATTTTTAGGTTAGTTTTTTTTTTTTTTGAAAAATAATTACCAAAGGACAACCTAAGCAACATTCTCGAAACATGACTGCAATCCGGTATTTGTGCTTTGAAGTAGACGGGCACATACATATAATTTCATGCAAATAAATTAAAGGCAGTATCATCTATGGTATTTGTATATATAATAATATACTCAACCTTATGCATAAACACTTGCATATAGAAACTGCCAAAAAAATATTTACATAAGACAGATAAGAGCAAAAATTAGTACAGGATATATAAGTTTTGTGGAAGCTAAAAGGTATTTCATGTTGTTCATTACGTTGACATAAGGAAGGGATTACTATAGCGAAAATGTATTTAAAATCCAGAAAATACATTAAGAAAAAGTCACACTTTTTTAGCATAAAAGAATTTCAAATTTTTGAAAATTAGAATTCAACATGTTCTATTTTAAAGTTAAAGAGAACAAATTCTGCATTGTGAATATATTAGCAATAATCGCCATTCCATTATATTTAATTAAATTTATATCTTGATTTTTTCAAAACCGAAAATCTTCGAAACGTCATTCGAAAGTGTTCTGATGTACATATATAGATAACACATATCACTAGTACAGACGACATCTTTGAAAAGCACAGCATTTAACTATTTATTTTCGACCTTTTGAAAAGGTTTGTTTGCAAGCACATTTCATCAAACTAAATGAGAATTATAATTAATAAGTAATTGAATAAATATTCTTTAAAATATCTACACATAAGTGATTATTAATATGTACCAAATTGTGGAAAAACTTGTTATTTGTCATGGTAATTATTGGAATCATTGTAATGTATTAAAATAATATTAAGGCTGAATTTATTTAATTTCAACAAGAGAATGTATAGAAGAAATTGTATGGAGCAGTGATAATCACGTGAAAAGCTAATATATAAGATACATAGGTATATATATAAGATATAAAGAACAACTTTATAATTAAAGGGAACGTTGGTGCTTTTACGTTTTACACACGCAACAGAGGAACCTGGAAAGAAATAATGCCTAAGGCTGAAACTCAGTGCCATTTCATTCTATGATAGCTTCTATGCTTCTGCATCTATTATGACTAACATATTATAGTTTATTATGACCATTTCAATTTGTGTACAATCGAAGCACGTAGACAGGTTATTATGACCATTCGGGAAGTAAGTGAACTATATTCGGGAAGTAAGTGATTGTTACTAATTACACAAATAAAATATATGTAGACCAATTGGGCGTACCTTTATGGGAAGCTGTTAAAATATAAAAATATCAAATATCAAAAAAAAAGGTTTTAGTCAAATGTAAAGAAAACACACTAATTATGTCCAGAGCTTTAAACTTATATAAATCATAAACAAGTAAATGTGTCTGTTATAAGGATTTTAAGAAATACTATACCCCATATATAACAACACATTTCAATTTTGTCTTATATGTTATTGATATGATTCACTATTTCTTCATTAAGTTCATATATATAATAAAAACAGTGTAAATCTTACCTGTAAGTTAGATGGACAATGATCCAGTAATTCTAGCATGTGTTTTATATTCTGTGCATCCTGTATGACAAAATTTAATTCCATGTCAAATTCGCCACCCACGAGCTGAAAATATATGAAATAAAAGAGATTAAGTTAAATATTTGTCACAATAACAAAAAAAAACTGTGATGTGGAAAAATATAACAATAGATTAAAATCAACTTCGCATGAATTTTGCATGCGCCTAAAAGCATTTCACACTCATTTTCATTTAATACACGGGTATGTGCATAATACCCATACTATTGCAAATGGATTATTATTAGACATAGAGGACATGCTTTGTGTAATGGAACATATGCAGTGATATTTTTATGAATAGCCACAAATTAAAGCGGATTAAATTTGCATGAATTTATGTATGAATGCAGGCGGAAGCGAAGGACCTACAAAAATTGAATACAAAATACTTCACACCTAAAAAAAAACAACGCAATACAACACAAATCAAATCAAAAGTTATAATTAAATCTGTACGGTGCACAAAAAATAATTGCGGTAGCAGGCATGAAATGTCAATACACATTACACAACCTACACAAACCTGCACAAACCTCAAAGCCTTACACGAGACAAAATGTATTAAGAGTGTTTGTGTAGGTGGCACCGATTTGATGTCAAAATAACTGAGCACAAAAAATGTTTGCATAGAGACATATTCATTTAAGTGTGCGAAAATTGCGGTATTCACATGTGTGTGGAAACCTATAAGACCCACAAAGGCAGAGCACGGCGGGAGATGTGGTGTTTATTTTTCATAATGTATATGTGTATAGATTTTTTTTTTACTCCTTGTATTGTTGTTCCACGTACATATTTAAATCAGAACGAAAAGAGCAAAATTGAATTTAAATTTAATGAATTCAACATAAATTTGAAAATGACTTTTATATAAAGAATTCACTAAAAAGTTCTCTAAAATAACAACTCACTGAAAGAATTTCAAGTCCAGAGTGAACAAATAAATCGTTAGGCATGGATCAGGTTTAAAGAAAATCTTTAAGATACTCGAGAAATAAAACAACTGCTACTTTTTTGATTAAATCAATAAATATTCTTGATGTCCTTAAAGAAAATGCTAAATTATGTGTATATACCTCATTAAAACCATATCGATATTTCCATTCATTGGTAAATGGGAAACTAAAGCTCCCTTCTTCATACATCTGAATTACAGAATGTGAAGTAATCGTACACAAGTTATATGTAGACTTAACTCTTAACTCGACAAATCTCTGGTATTATGAGTCATTTTTAATACTAAATCTATACTAAATGCACACAAAATCCACAAAAAACATGCTAAAGGTATTCCATAAGTCTGAGTGTTAACATAGTATAAGTTAAAAAGAAAAACACTTGAAAAAGAAGAACTTGCTTTGCTTAATATATATGATTTTATTAGAAACTGAAAATGTGAACATCTCATATATGCTTCGTCTAACTGGACTGTTTGCCTGTTTGATACGACTGTTTATAGATCCTATGTTTTTTATTGTGATTACCTATAATTAAAGCTTAATACCACGGTGTTCTTAACACAGGTATGCAACTACTCACGGTTGCACTAAAATTTCGTCGTAACTATCGTAACTATTCGTTTAAATTAAGTTTTATCCTTTGAAGTGAGTGAGACTTATTCAGCACCTCTCAATTTTTTGGGGTTTTCGTTTTAAAATATTTTACATCACATTGAATTAAAGTAACGAGTACAGTCATTATTCCCTTGAAACTTTGTTCTTAAACCACATCTATCACGTTGCTTCCATTGAAGGGGCCAACCTCTATTGGTCAGAACAGTGGAAGGTATGGACCCTCACCGCCATGGTATTGATATGGACATGATTGGGGAAAATTGTTTAAATCCTAATATTTAGGATTTAAGATTTTTATAAAACAAAAGTATTGGTATCAATATTGGCAAACGCCAAAAAGGAATTTGGTTGTTTGGTAAAGACAAATTTTTGAGAGCAGTGGTCTATTACTTATAGAAAATTTAAGAATTATTTCGATAGACTAAAAAAACTTTAATTTGTTTTAAAATGTAACTCTAATAACGCAATTCAAAAAAGACTCTTGTGCCTTTAATCTCTATTGCTATTCCAATGAATCATTTTGAAACCATTTTTTTTTCACGTTCTTCACAAATATGATTATATCTTCAAACAAATTCTACTTCAAAAGCAACTACACTTTAAGTTGAAGTTTAGAAAGAGAATTCACTTGAATAAAACTTCTGTAAAGATGAAAAACACAAACAAAATCATTTCAAATAGAAACACAAAAGAAGATAAATATCTGCGAAAGAAAAACAGAAAGCCAACAAAAGTAAGAGCAATAAAAATTGCGGGTGTCTGTTGGTATCCTGAAGATACAAGTTTACTGAACGGCGGCAGTTAGACTGGCGACGATAAAACTTAGCTTATAGTATAAATATACAAAAATAAAAAATTTTATATTTGTTAACATAAATATTTATACAGAAATTAATGGAAGCTATAATTTAAAAATAACAGAAAAATCCATGTTAAAGTAGTTGTGTTGTGTAAAAGCTCAGAAAAGAACTACAACTACAACATCAGATACATTTGCTAAAGAATCAGAAAGTTCACGTATACAATGCTTGCAATGGCAGAATATTGGACTAAAGATTAATTGCAGCATCGCAGGTATTGCAGACTTTTATTACATATAAAATTTTATCCTTTATGATTTATATCAGCTACATTTTAGTTAAATCTTTAATGTATCTAATTTTTTTTATGAGTTCATAAAATTGCTTTAGCTATTTACTTATGTCTTTTGCTGGGAAGTAGCATTGACATCTTTGACTATTTTATTTTATTTTTTATATTTCTTTAGTATATTGCTGAGTAGAACCTCTCAATGCTAGACACTATCCTTGAAAAGTATCTTTATTTTATTTTACCATAACGACATTTTATTTTGATCACATTACGCGTTGTATGCTGCGATGTTTATGACAGAGATTTTGTAGGGATTTATGTAGAAAATTGTCATTTTTCACTTTGTGTATCTGGAATAGTAAAACGAAATATGAGCTATTCATATACTTGAAAGAATTTGAAAGAGTTTCCGTGTTTATAGTTGGATTTTGCATTTCTCAAATGTAGAATGTTAAATAATCAGGATATTAAATTTAGTTACCCTAACTGCTTTAATTCATAACACAACTTAAAAGCACAATTTAATTAAATTTTAGAAGTTATATGTCGGTTTTGATATGTCGACGCCAACATATCTTTCATTGACATTTGTTGTTGTCAGGTTATATTACAATTATGGTATTGCATTTATGTGAACATAATATGTATACCTACTTATATACAAACACATATCATATATAATAAGAAACTTTAAATCATTCACAATTTTTCGGCCAGGTGGAGTGAGTGGACTAGTGTAGTAGAAGAAAAAGTAATGGAAAGTTAATAGTTTAAATTAGACAATCGCTCCAACTTGTTTCATATAAGGTGCTTTTATCAGGATATTCATTATGCATTTTGTTTAATTCGAAGTAACAAAACAAGTATCATTATATTAAATAAGAATTTTACTACTTTTATTTTTTGTACTTGATAATCCAAAATTTTTGATATCCCAAAAGCAACTTTTCCATTAATTTTTAGTATTTTAATGTAATATTTATTTCTCAAATTCTCTCACATCTTATATTTAATGATTCATATAATTAAATTTTATGTTATATAATGTAAATACTTCTACCAAATACACAAGCTTACATGTTATTATACTTTTATTTCGATATTGGAAAAAATCTTAGTTACACATCAACTGAAATTACTTGATTTTCTGCGATTGTGCGTAACAATTTGTTACTAAAATCAAAAGATTCATTTTGTATCCATGCTGATATGCGCTGCTAAGACAATAATAAGATATAATCGTCATATAATCTCACATACATTGTATTCCTTCGTATTCCTTTGCAAATAATTTACATTGCGCTCGAATGATTTTCTTGATATCTTCTTAATAAAAATAATCATAAGACAAATACATACGTATATAGATATATAGATACATTTATATATGCACTAGACATGTACGTAGAATTCAGAAATTATTTTGCTTGAATAAATTTTTATTTAAGTCGTTAAAGTCGTACGAATGAGAAAAGCGAAATAACAGTTACAGCGATATATACTTAAAGATATATATGCTATAAGCTTTTATTTGTTTTATTTAATATTATGACCATGTAGACGCCACAAAATATAACAATTTTTTCTTATTCGTTTTATACTACATAAAATAATAAAAATAAATAACAATTCTATTGTTTAAGCCAAAGTTTAAGTTGTTTTAACCCAAATTTCTATCTGATGTTCTTGAGATCGCTTTTATATATTGCATTAGGTAAAATGGAATTTAAGTGCAAAACACTGAAACGAATATATATACGAAAAAAAAGCACAGAAATACATTTGATATATATTTTTGTAACAGGAGGCTTTATGTAATTTTTATTGTATTTCCGCCCACACTTAAAAGCAAAAAATATTGCATATCCTCAGGCGTCCGAATTAAAATTCGTAAAGCTGAAAAATAGCGCAGCAGTAGCTATTGTTTTATTTGTTGCTAACCGTAGCTGGCTACTGTTTATTTGGTTTTATTAAATTTTATTATTTTAGTCTTTTGTTTCTCTCAAATATATAATTCATTTCATTTTTAAATGTATTTACTTACAACGTTTCTATTATTTATTTTTGTTTTTTTGACATAAAAAAATATTTTTGTTTAGTATTTTGCTTTACTTGATAAGTTTTTGTGTGTTTTTCTTGTTTGTTGTTTTTCCTCATTTCTGCAATTGTTCAAAATAAAGTTAACTAAAGCCAAAAATGTCCTCCAGCAATTAAAACGAAACAAAAAGTTAATTCACAAACAATACAGAATAAGTTCACATTAGCAAAAGTGAAAATACAATGCAGCACAAAGTCATAAATAGATTTAATTGTTTCGGTCTGGAATATTTGTAATGAGCTTACCATGAGCATGAGCTGCTGCAGTGCCAAGACTAAAAGGA